TTTCCTGAAAGATGTCTTTACACATTGAAGGATGGATTGAGGGAGCCTTTAAAAGAATTCTTTCCTTTTACAAACTTTGTATTTTTTGTTTTAAAAAAGATGAAAAACATGTTGCAAGTTTAACAAATGATTTCCTTATGTTAAATAAAAAATCATAAATGCCAACTTGTTTGCTTTTGATGCTTTTGAAGTGTTATTGCTCTTCTGAAGGAAAATGGAGAGACACTGGAAGATTTTGTTGAAGTGACATCCAGTAATTTAAAAGCGAAGCATTTTAATTTTAGAAGACATGACAGCTCTCTCTCTCTTTCTCTCTCCCTCCACCCACTTCCCTTCAGACTGGTGGACAAACAAAAAGCTTTGAAGAGACATGTCAGAATGTATTGATTACTCTGCAACTGCTTCAAAAATATAGTGATATTGACACATTACACTGTGTATATTGCTGTTCATTAGAACACTACACTTCAGATAGTTTCTGAATACACTGTAGAAATAAGAATACATGTTATGACTAATATATACAGTGAAGGACTATTTTGGTGGAGTGTTGAACCAGTTACTTAGTGAGTGAACTGAAGATATTATTAAGTTCCACTGATAATCTCTGTTCTGACCTAATTGTTTCAGGTTTTTTCATTTGTAGTGTCATAAGAATTCATGAAGGTTCGTAGCAGTCATGTTAGCACCAAGACTTGACACTTACTTAGTTTAGCTGGGAGCTTCACACTATACTTATTAGTATTTAAAACTGTAAGCAACTCTTCCTCCCGCTTTCTACCCCACCCCCAAATATAAACAGGCCATTAAGTCAGTCAAGCTGCAGTGTGGTGATTATGCTGACAGTGAATCTATATCTGAAATGCCTCACACCCTTACACCCTCATACACATGCATGCCCATGTGGATTTTTTTGAAGTAAATCATCCATAAAACATAATTGAAATTGGATAAAATGCTTTATTATCTCAGCATCTCTTTCCTTCAGACATGTGGAATTTTTCCTCCTCCCTCTAAGAATGACAAAATAACATGAAAACATAAGCTGTTTGCTTGTGTTTCCTACCTAGGAGGTCTGGCTAGCTGCCACTTGGTTTTTTCTCCCCCTTTTCATTAGGATTGTTTCAATATGCCATTTTTCTTTTGTTGCCCAGGTGCAGCTGTCTTTTCAAGAGTCTCGCTGGATATGATTCTGATCTCACTTATATCAGCCTAGTATTCTTTGTTAGTGGCAGTGGAGTTACTTCCGACTTGCTCTGATTAAGTGAGAGAAAAACCAAGTTCTTTCTCTGCCCTCTCCCCCATAAAACACTTGGCAAATGCAAATTTTTAAATGCCTATCAACCATCCTTCGAGCTCATGCCAGTGCTAATCAAATTCTTCAAATTAAAATGTAACAGTCGGAACCAGTCTAACATGTCACAGCAAAGTAACTTGCTGAAAAGTGAGGGGTGGAGAGAAAAAAAGGTTAATATAGTGGGTGAAATCCTGACCCATTGAAGACAATGGGAGTTTTGCCATTGACTTTATTAGGGGCAGGATTCCTTCCAGTGTGCAGGAACAGAGGCAATAGATATGAGCAGTGGATTAATCCTTCAGCAACAGCTCACATGCTGAATAATGGAGTTGCAAATGGGGTCTCTGATGAAGACTGGGGTTGTGGACACAATTTCCTCCCCACCTCCCAACATTGGTACGGTCAATGTGTTCAAACCCAGGACTGCCTAAGAAGCCCTGTACAACCCCTCTCTGCCAGAGGTTTTCTTTTATGTACTCCTACCCCTTGGAGCCAATCCTTCTCTCCAGTCCTGTCTCCAACTCTCATCCGCACTGTTGTAGAGACAGTTACATGGAGTGGAGGTTTGGGGTGTTCATGACCTCCTTCTAGCATTCTGTGCAGTGGGTCCATAGCCCTTCTGTGCTCAGAGAGGAGAAGGCACCAGGGATTTCCTTCTATACTGTCTTTGTATATAGCAACTATAGCACATAACAATAGCACACACCTCACCATCACTCACATGAGGAGAAGCTTACCGCACAGGATGTCAGTGAAGCTACTTATTTGAGCAGATGGTCACCTACATAAGAAATGGAGGGGCCCATTGTGTTTTACAGATGCTTGAGGCCATGTCTATACTACAGATAAGATCAAAGGAGCCTCAGTTGATCTTCTGGGGTTCGAATTAGCAAGTCTAGTGAAGACATGCTAATTCAAACTGAGAGATGGCTTCTATTGATGCCAGTAGTCCTGCTTCTACAAGGAGTAAGAGAAGTCAAAGGGAGAATGTTCTCCCCTCAGCTTCCTGCAGTGTGGATGGTGCCAAAATTTGAGTTAAGATTCTTCGACTTAAGTTACGCAATTAACATAGCAGAAGCTGCATATTTCAATTTGAATTTATCCCCTAGTGTAGACCGGATGATTGGGTTATGATTAGTGCAGTTATAGATCAAATTAGGGATGGTAAGTAGTGGTAAATTAGCTAATTGGATGGAATTTCCATCGACTACTTGATTATTCAATAAAGGGGGGCGCTCACTAATCCACTGCAGCTCTGCAGTTTAAATGTAGTAGGAGATGGTTGTGAAGTCAGCCTTGATCTTACTACATTTAAACTGTAGAGTCTCAGTGTGGCTAGCTCCCAGGGCTGGCACAAGTCGGGACTACATAGTCCCAGTTTGTGCTGACTCCAGAATTGCTGTGGCTCTGCCTTCCCCGAACCAGAGACACAGAACAGGCTCCTGCTCTCCCCCTTGCTGCCTCTGATACAGGAGCAGCAGCGGGTCAAGGAGTGGGGAGAAGCGACTTGACTACCTGGTAAGCCTAAGCTTATTGGGTAGTTGACTACTCATCAAGTACAGGTTGTACCTCAAAAAAAAACAAAAAACAAAAAAAAACAGCACTCTCTGGTCCAGCAACATCCATTGTCCAGCAGGACCACAGATGTTCCTGGTCCAAAGAGCTGGGAGCCTAAGGGCAGGAGAACTAGGTAGGGCTGGGGCAACAGGGTTGGTAGCCCAGCTGGGAGCAGCGCAAGACCAGAGTCCCTTGCCCCAGGAGCTGGGGGTTGCAGCTGGAGTCCCATGGCAGCACAGGACTGGAGTCCCCTGGCAGCTTCTTGGAGCGCAGGGCTAGGGCACTGCAGCAGCCCCTGGGAGCATGGGGCTTGAGTTGAGTCCTGCAGCAGTGCCGAGCCAGAGCCTCACAACAGCCCCCTGGAGCATAGGGACAGAGCCCCATGGCCGGCCCTGGGCATGTGAGGCCACAGCCCCATGGCAGGAGCCAGAGATGCAGCTGCCCAGGAAGCCGGCAGCAGCTGGGCAAGCAGCCCAGTCAGGGTGGGGGGGAGGGAGCCAGGATGCCTGCTAGGGCAGCCTGCCAGCAGCAGGCAATGAGCGTGGGAGGCAGTGGCAGGAGACCTCCCCTTGTCTGGCCAATTATCTCATTCGGGACCAGTCAGGTTCTGATGGTGCCAGATCAGGGAAGTCAAACCTGTCATTGCTTACATCCCAAGACCAAATGCAATCCAATGCTAAGTACTGATGATACAAAGTCCTTTGAGTAAAGTGCTTTGTCCTTGCCAAGTGTTAGGAATTATAAGATTACAAAAACATACATCAAGGAATCCTCTGAGAGTCCTCATGCACATCCTGCAGTAGGGAGTAAGTTTGCATAAGAAGCCTCCCTATGCTCCTGCCCACGCTACCAATGTAACTGGAGCTACCAAGGAGGAAGTACAACTATTGGCAGATTTCATCTCTTACCTGCAGCACGAGGATAGATGGGAGTGGATGGAAAAGTGTGAGTACTTTGTGCTAGCAAAACAGCTTTCCTACAGGGGAAAGGTTGTGGTTCTCTACCCCATGTTCTTTACTCAGGCTGGTGGACAGTACAGAGATCTAAAACTGTAAAGGGCTATAAAGACACAAAACAATCTTTGCACATGTCAGCAAAAATTGGGCAGATTCTGCTCTCTGTTATACAAGACTATCCAAGTGAATGGGAGTTGCCCTTATGTAACTGAGAGCCAAATGCTGCTTAAAGTGCGCAAATTGTTATCATTTCTTTTTTTCAGGAACACAATGGACAGTACAGAGATCTAAAACTGTAAAGGGCTATAAAGACACAAAACAATCTTTGCACATGTCAGCAAAAATTGGGCAGATTCTGCTCTCTGTTATACAAGACTATCCAAGTGAATGGGAGTTGCCCTTATGTAACTGAGAGCCAAATGCTGCTTAAAGTGCGCAAATTGTTATCATTTCTTTTTTTCAGGAACACAATATCAGCTTGATAATATGCACTGCTTTGTTCTGAGTTGTCAGTGCACCTCCCCAAACAAATTGTCCCGCTGTGGTTTATAATCATGGGAATATTGTTTTAAATGGTCACATCAGAATAGCTGTATTCTGGCTCCAAACATCTCTGGAAAATAGCCTATTGAATCATATCGGAAATTAGGGCAGAGTTGACTTCCTGGTAGACTCCAAACAATTAAACATCTCTCCTTGGAATGTACAGTCTGTTCTAGTTGGTTATTTATACAGCACTTGGCAGCCAGTTATAATCAAGTCAATCTTGGGGACCCCACCCATAGAGCAGTATCTACTGTAGGAAAAAGAAGGAAAGGAAATCAGCAATCTATTATTTCAGAAAATTTTAACAAAGTTTGTTTTTCCTCCAGTCACCATGATCAGGTTCTGTACAATGTCCCTTTATCTTACTATGCACCTCTTATTAACTGAAACACCAAACCTACAGTTGTGATTATCTGGGAAGTAAAATAGGAAAGTGAATGTCTGCCACATACATTGAAACATGCTCTTACTGTTGTGCAAGACAAATCAGCAACCTTCTTTTAGATGGTCATATGAGAAAACAACCATCTCTTTTCTCTGAGGCAG